TATGTTATGGTAGCATACTTTACCTACATTTTACCTAATTTTGTGGCCCTTTGACTCAATAAAAATTTAAAATCATCTCCTGGGGGAAATGTTGCCTACATGTGGTTTAAACCCACAGCTACTCTGTAAATGCCATAAACTTGCAGTCCTATTACTAAATCTCCTAACCCCTTTGACTTCTGTATTACATAATTTGTCTTGGACTTCACCTACATTTAACATTCAGTTCTACCTAATTTTACTCTACTGACATTTTCATCTCAACAATATTCAACATCACACCTGACCTTTCCAGCCCTCCTCAATCTTGTGCTCTCACTGATTTTTCAATAAGATCAGCTCATTCCACCTGAGAACACCGATATGATCTACAAGCCTGTAATCAAGGATCCAATTACCTCTCCTTATCCAAATACTGAGTCTCTGCTGCTCTTTAGATCAGATCATACCAGTGACCTATGAGCCTTCTTAGAAAACATGCAAACAGATACTTTCCCTCCTGGCTTAATTACTTTCAGTGCTGTTCTGCTTTTCTATGTTCTTATTTTACCTCTTTGGATCACGTCCTTCTTTAATGCATATGGAGGCTTATCCTATCACTCTTTCCTTGAGCACATACTCCTTTCACTTCTACTTTCATGACTTTTGAACTGTTTAATCGTGAGCTTGGAAACAAACTGAAAACCCACATATTGACCAAAATCTTACGTACAAAATGTATCAATACTACCTTCAATGTTCCTAACATAATGAACTTGAACATTTCACAGAAAATGGCGTAGTGAAAAGTAAACCCTGTTCCTGTCTTTTCCCAGACCTCTTCATCGAGAGGTTTTGTATGACGGGCGGCAGCAGTCCCATAGGTTACCTGAAGGCCTGGCATACTGACCTCTACCTGTCTGCAGATGCTGAGAAGGTCAGGGAGGCGCTGGCTGAAGGTGAACATGCACTGCTGGACATACATTCTTTCAGTACCACAAAGGCAATCTGTAAAATGTTACGTACAAATATCACAACATTTGTGATTACTTCATTCAGTGGTTACCTGTAGAAAGGCTAAACATATATCATCTAAACTTTTGGCAGCAGCAAACTAAGTCTCTTTGAGGTGATTCTGAATCACAATTAGAATCAGAATCAGAATAATTTTTATTATCATTGTACCGAAATACAGTGAGATTATGTTCGTAGAGTCGTCCGAAAGACGGGCGGAGTGCACGTTGCTGCTGCTCCTTGAGAGCGCGGCCCCTTATCCTTTTTCAGAATACTTTTTAGATAGAAAAAAGTATTAGTATTACTGATCACAAATAATCAAAAATATGACAATATACTGTATTATTTTCATCTGTTGCTTTTTACAGATGTACTTCAAACCGTAAAAGAGCCAGAACAAAGTAGAAAAGCATGTGAAAGCCAAGAATATACCCAGAGGTTTTTATTATGATCTGATTTTCTCATATAAAAATGAAAGCAACAAAGTCCATGCTCAGTAATCCATGAATATAATCCAACATTTTTCAGTCAGGTCATCTGGACAGTTTAATAAAAATGAAAGGTTTAATTCATTCAACCTTTATTTATTCGGTTTAGTCCCATTGAGCCTCGGGGACTCATTTACAAGAAAGTCCTGAATTTTAACAAAGAGTGACGACAACAGTGGACAAAAAAACAACAGTAGACAATCATAAATGAAAGCATACAAATTGAGAAGAACAAATGAAAGAAAATGGTATTAAAACAACAAAACTAAAACAGCTAGATTGTAAAATGATGTAGAAAACTAAAAACAGAAACATGTCTGCATGTCGGCCAGACTTCAGGGGTATCTGAGGCAGGCTTGAAACACAAGAGTCAGGGTGGCTTCTGGGTAATACCAGATGGCTAGGCCTCAGACTGACGAAGCCTCTTGGATGAGGGGCGAAACGTTTCTTTTTAACAAAAAAACGAAGTCCAGATGACATGATTCAACCTTTTTTGTTGTTATATACCTGGATGACTGAGAAAACAAACTTTATGTCTGCATTGGTTTTTGCCAGGAACTTAGCAGATGTTTAAAGCCACTTAGAGAGGCCAAGGTCGAGAGCTTCAGATCTTTTTGCAAGATATTCCAGGAAACAGGAGTGGAGTAGACGAAGGTCCTTTTACCTAGTTCAGTCCTCATTGAAGGAACACTGCAGGTAATAATGTCCTGAGCGCGCACGCTGTAGCTGCACTCACAGAATGAATAATCATCAGTTGGTGCTGATCCTATTTTCAGGAGAAATATAATCAAAAGTTGGTACAACATTGGTATCTGTAAAACCGTGCACTACAGGCAGGAACACTAAAGTAATGGGGTTTCTAGTGGGAAGGTTTAGTTGATGAGTTAAAATGCAGAGTTCAAAGTTCAGCAATGAAAAGTGAATGATGCAATGAGAACTTTATACAACAATCGCTGCATTCTTGGAATCCCGTTTAACAAAAGCTCATTTTACACATCTGTGCATTGTGTTTGTGTGCAGGCATTGCAGCGGCCACCATGTTTATGCCTGAGAAGCTGACAGAGGTGTCAGAGTCTCAGCTGAGAGTGGCGTTCGACGGTGACGCCGTCCTCTTCTCGGATGAGTCTGAGCGTATATTCAAAGCCCACGGGCTGGACAAATTCTTCGAACATGAAAGGGAGAATGAAGACACTCTACTGGATCATGTTTGTATAATTTACATCATATTTTCACTCAGTCATTGCCGTTTATGTCATGTATTCTTCTGGAAACCATCATTTCCCCCACACTTGTTCCATGTAAGAGACTACAGAAATGTATTTCTTTCTCAAATCAGTTTTAATAAGAGATCCAACCTATCCAGTCCAATCAACTCCAACATTGTTTGTAAGTCACTTGAAAGTGGACCAAAGTGCTGCACAGAGCCAACATTGAAACACGACTCACATAAAACTATCAAAAACAGTGAATTAAAACCAATCAGTTCAAACAATAAAATCAAAACAAACATTAAAATACATAAAATTGAAAAATCACATAAAAGTTTAAGACACAAGTTCTTTAAAAATTGTTAAATCCAATGAAAAGAGGTGGATTTTAAGGACAAGTTTTAAACAGAGATAATGAAGGTTGGATGAATGGTTCCAGTGGTAGAATTCAAAGATTTGGGCTGTCAGCTGCTCTTAAAAAGATTATCAATAAACTGTTAACTGTGTTGCTCTACAACCACAACCAATGTTTTTTGTGATACAGATACATAAACTGAGGCATTAAAAAAATAGAAGAAAACAAAACACACACAGTAGAAACAAACTCTCAGAGATTGTCAGGATGTGCAGCAGAACTGCTGGCCTAGCCCTACAGAACCTTATTGAACTACACAAGGTGAGGTCATTGAACAAGGCCAGACTGATTCTGGCAGATCCTGATCACCACTCCGTGGTGAGTTCAGGTTGCTTCCATCTGGACGCAGGTATCTGCAGCCCAGATGTAGGAGAAACAGACTGATCAACTCATTCATGCCTGAAGTGATCAGGCTTCTCAGTGAACATTGATGCCTTCCGTATTGTTATTTTAATGTCTTAATGTCTTGTGTAGTATGGATGTTTTATATCTCGACTGACTGTGAAACTAATTGCACCTCAGGGATAATAAAGTTACTTGAACTTGAAGTTGTAGAACTGAAATAAAACTCTGTCCCCGACCTCTCCTTTTCTACAGGGTCCCCTGAAAGGCTTCTTGGAGGCACTGGGGAAGCTTCAGAAAAAGTTTTATGCTAAAGGCCAACGCCTGGACTGTCCAATCCGCACCTACCTGGTCACCGCTCGGAGCGCAGCAAGTTCTGGGATTCGAGCACTAAAGACGCTCCGGGCCTGGGGGTTGGAGATCGACGAGGCATTGTTCCTTGCAGGTGCACCCAAAGGCCCGATGCTAGAGAAGATCAGGCCTCACATCTACTTCGATGATCAGATGTTTCATGTGGAGGGAGCAGCAGAGATGGGCACCGTCGCTGCCCATGTTCCTTATGGCGTTGCACAGAAATGTAACACCGCACAGAAAACGAGTGTGGGGAAGTAAAAGGACAGGACTTTCTATGCCAGTGACATAGAAAAGGGAATGGATTGGAAAACATCTTTTGGGAGAAACGAAAGGTTGAATAAGTGTGAAGCTTAACTTATATTATGAAATGTTTTGAAGTCAAAGGTCAAGAAGAGGTCTGGAACCTGAGGTGGCCTGAACAACAATGTGAATGTCAGTTTAGTCTCCTGTCTGCTGATGGGGGTTTGCAACATTTGATTCTCGTAGGTCTTGTACAGCTGTTCAGATGGATGATGGTTTCAGTATTTCTCTCAGATTTCTTTTGTCTTCCAAAAACCTACTTCAGTTCTGTGATGCTGGAAGACACTAAATTAGCTTCACTGACTCCTCAAGTAAACCACTTCAATGAATGTTGTTCAGAGTTGAGCTATAAGCACAAAACAAATACATTTGATATAAGTGATGCACTGTAGCAAAAAAGAGTCAACATAGTCTGTCAATCGTTTTAAAGTTTGACTTAACAAAAAAATGTAAAAAGTAGAGAAATGTACAGTATTCTGAATGTAACTCCTCTTGCTTTAGTTCAAAACAATCATAGGAAGCTACAAGTTTAGTTTGTGCCTTAAGAGTCACAGTTACCCATTTATACAAAGGTCTTTGAATGGCTACAATTTAGAGAAATGATTCACTTCAGATAGAACTGACAAGCTAATAGCTAATCTAAAAGCAGCTAATATTAAAGTGGATTAAATAGTGCCAATATCAAAACGTCACAGTTGTTTAGGTGAACACTACTGTGTGAACCTTACATTGTTGTCAATTTTGCATAAGTTATTTGTACAGGATTCAAAGGTGGCCTCAGGATTCCTTCACTATTTGCAGATGATGTTGTGTTGTTGGCATCATCGTGCCGTGATCTTCATCTCTCACTGGAGTGATTCACAGCCAAGTGTGAAGCAGCTGGGATGAGAATCAGCACCTCCACATCTGAGGCCATAGTCCTCAGTCGGAAAAGGGTGGATTGCTCTCTTCGGGTCAAGGGTGAGGTTCTGCCTCCAGTGGAGGAGTTCAAGTATCTCAGGGTTTTGTTCACGACTGAGGGAAGAATGGAGCGTGAGATTAACAGATGGATTGGTGCAGCATCTGCAGTATTGTGGACTTTGTGCCGGTCCGTTGGGGTGAAGAGGGAGCTGAGCATTAAGGCAAAGCTCTCTGTTTACCGGTCGGGCTACCTTCCTACCCTCACCTATGGTCATGAACTCTGGGTAGAGACTGAAAAAATGAGATTGTGGATACATGAAATTAATTTCCTCCGCTGGACTCTACCTTAGAGATAGGGTGAGAAGTTCATTTATCCAGGAGAGACTGAGTGGAACTGCTGCTCCTCCACATTGAGAGGAGCCAGTTCAAGTGGTTTGAGCATCTGGTAAGGATGATGCCTGGGTGTCTCCCTAGGGAGGTGCTTCGGGCATGTACGACTGGGAGGAGACACCAGGGAAAACCCAGGACACGCTGGAGAGACTATTCGTCTCTCGGCTGGCCTTCAATGACTTGGAGTCCTCCCAGAAGAGCTGGAAGAGGTGGCTGTTGAAAGAGATGTCTGGACCTCTCTGCTCAAGCTGCTGCCCCATGACCCAACTTTGGAACAAGTCGAAAATAAAGGATGGTTGGATTCAAAGGTTATTTGCATTCAAAAATACCAACAGCAATAGCTAGATGTACTACTTTTGGTGCCTTTGTTGGCACTTTTAGCAGAATTTTCTTTGATTTCTGTCAGAACTTCATAATGCAAAATTGGCAACTGTGTAAAAATGTATAATAATAATAATAATAATAATGTCATCACAATGTCAGCACTGTATGTTTCCATACAATGGCGAAATTAGTCTCTGCATTTAACCCATCCACCACCAGGTGGTGCAGTGGGCAGCTATTGAAAGCGCCCGGGGGACATTTTTGGGGATTAGACGTGCTGCCCAGAGACGCCACGTGATGTGCAGTGACTGGGGATCGAACCTGGGACTCTCGGGTCCCAAGCCGGCTGCCCTGCCTCTATACCATCTCAAATGGTGTTTGTACGAAATGCTATGAAAATTTAAAGATATGTTGTTTTATGACGGCAAAATCCACTTTAGAAGTGGGTCTGCTTGGACTAGCCACTATTAGTTCATTTATATGGTCTGATAAAATGTCTGTGGACTCAGAAATTCCATGTACCATTGGACTTTGGTTCTATTGATCCAGACTTGTTGTCATTCAAAGAGTTATTCACACCTTTTATTTGACCTTTTCATGACTTTTTCACAGAACCCTGCTTTAAAATGGCTGACCTATCTTTTTAAGATGTTTCATTTGAGCACATTCATTGTCACTTTATTGTTTTATTTGTCTAGATTGCTTGCCTGGTGCCTTTAGTTGTAATGAATGCACTTTTTGAATACTAGCACCTCTGAAAACTGAAACTGGTCAGTCGAGCACCAGTCAGTTTGAACTGATCACTAACATGCAATGTTTAAAATGCATGAGTCTTGATCATCAGGGTCCGGAGGCGGCACCCACCAAAATAAATAAATAAAATAAAGATATTTAAATATATATATATATTTTCCTAGTTGTTTAATCAATCTAGCAACTCCAACAGAACAATTAGCTCTAAGACTGTTTACTTTTGCTCCTGATTGGAGATCAGCTGAATGGATTAAAATTCTTGTAGCAAAAAACATCTGCATAAATGTTCTTTCTTAAAGCCCTGATAGCTGTCAATACATGTGATGTTTTAAATGTTTTTTATTAGAAATTTTAATGCTTCGAACACAATTTCTACATCAGTAAATTATTGTTTGGGAGTTAATGTATGTTAAACTCATCTGGGCTTTTGTGAAACGTGGGATAGAAAACAAACATTCCTCGTCTTTCTTTATTTCATTTATTTATTAAAAAGGACAGTGCACATTAATCAATATTCCAAGAATATATAAGTGCTAGAATTAGCACAACAGCTAAATTTAATAAATTATTCTAAATTCACAACTTAACCCAGAGATAATTTATAGAAATTCTCCCGTTAAAGTCCAAACGATCTCTGCACAGCTCATTTGCATATGATCATAGTCTTAATTCCTGCTTTAACATTTTCCAGTGCTTGATCTCCTCACCTAAAACTACTTTACTTCTGTCAATTTTTGTCCATACAGATTTGAGTCATTTATTACAAAATATGCAATAAATATTTTGTAGTGAATTATACAGGTGCTGGTAATAAAATTAGAATATCATGAAAAAGTTGATTTATTTCAGTAATTCCATTCAAAAAGTGAAACTTGTATATTATAGTTATTTATTACACACAGACTGATATATTCCAAATGTTTATTTCTTTTAATGTTGATGATTATAACTGACAACTAATGAAAACCCCAAAATTCAGTATCTCAGAAAATTAGAATATTACTTAAGATCAATTTAAAAAAAAGGATTTTTAGAAATGTTGGCCAACTGAAAAGTATGAACATGAAAAGTATGAGCATGTACAGCACTCAGTACTTAGTTGGAGCTCCTTTTGCTTGGATTACTGCAGCAATGCAGCGTGGCATGAAGTCGATCATTCTGTGGCGCTGCTCAGGTGTTATGAGAGCCCAGGTTGATCTGATAGTGGCCTTCAGCTCTTCTGAATTGTTGGATCTGGTGTATCACATCTTCTTCTACACAATACCTCATAGATTTTCTATGGGGTTAAGGTCAGGTGAGTTTGCTGGCCAATTAAAAACAGGGATACCATGGTCCTTAAACCAGGTACTGGTAGCTTTGGCACTGTGTGCAGGTGCCAAGTCCTGTTGGAAAATGAAATCTGCATCTTCATAATGTTGATCAGCAGCAGGAAGCAGGAAGTGCTCTAAAACTTTCTGGTAGATGCTGTGTTGACCTTGGACCTCAGAAAACACAATGGACCAACACCAGTGGATGACACGGCACCCCAAACCATCACTGACTGTAGAAACTTGACACTGGACCTCAAGTAGCGTGGATTTTGTGCCACTCTTCTTTTCCTCCAGACTCTGGGACCTTGATTTCCAAAGGAAATGCAAAATTTACTTTCATCAGAGAACATAACTTTGGACCACTCAGCAGCAATCCTGTCCCTTTTGTCTTTAGCCCAGGTGAGATGCTTCTGACGCTGTCTCTTGTTCAAGAGTGGCTTAACATAAGAAATGCAACAGCTGAAACTTGTGTCTTGCATACGTCTGTGCATGGTGGTTCTTGAAGCACTGACGCCAGCTGCAGTCCACTCTTTGTGACTCTCCCCAACATTTTGGAATGGGTTTTGTTTCACCATCCTCCACTATGGTGCAGTTATCTCTATTGCTTGTACAATTTTTTCTACCACATATTTTCCTTCCCGTCACCTCTCTATTAATGTGAACAGCCAGCCTCTTTAGCAATGACCTTTTGTGTCTTGCCGTCCTTGTGCAAGCTGTCAATGGTCATCTTTTGGACAACTGTCAAGTCAGCAGTCTTCCCCATGATTGTGTAGCCAACAGAACTAGACTGAGACCATTTAAAGGCCTTTGCAGATGTTTTGAGTTAATTAGCTGATTAGAGTGTTATACCAGGTGTCTTCAATATTGAACCTTTTCACAATATTCTAATTTTCTGAGATACTGAATTTGGGGTTTTCATTAGTTGTCAGTTATAATCATCAACATTAAAAGAAATAAACATTTGAAATATATCAGTCTGTGTGTAATGAATGAATATAATATACAAGTTTCACTTTTTGAATGGAATTATTGAAATAAATCAACTTTTTCATGATATTCTAATTTTATGACCAGCACCTCTATGTCTTTACTGGTTGTTTTTTTTAAATCATAGATGATTCACATATACAACAAATGCAAATCATAAATATATTTAAAAAAATCTGTATTATGACAACTATCATGGCTTTAGGTTAGGCTACAAAATATGTGCAAATTATGTTTTTATTAAATGTCAAACATGTTGAAAAATCAGACTTTTCATTTATTAGCTTGGAAGTGGTCAGATAAAAGATGAAGTTTTGCACCAGTTGTCTGCAGGGTAAAGCTCAGAGCTGATATGTTAGTTTGAGCTTAAATGAGGTAGTTTAAGGAGCAACAGATCTAACAGAAATGTGAA